GGAAATGAACACATGAACTTCATCTCCAGAGCTGCTCTGAGAGTCACTTCACCAGCTTTATGCAGTTTCATTTGAGAAAAATTACTGTCAAATACACGCTGGAACTAAAACTAAAACTGAAAGACCTTCACGACAATCCGTCAAAATAAAAGTCCGGTTTAACTTGAAATTATGACCGATTATATTACTACTCTATACTAAAATGCAATTCTCAAAGTAATAATAATAATATTTTTAGGGAATATCATGCAACCAAGTTATTTATTATTATTTATTTATACAGTTCTGTTTTGCAGTATCTTATCTGATAAAATGAAAATGCTTTTGTTATAAATTGATTTTCATTTGATTACATTTTAAAAGATTGGTTAAATTGTTAAAGTTTTATTAATTCACTTCACTAGACACCATTTTTATGATACATTTGTACTGAATCATAAAACACAGAATCCATAATAAATCAAATGGATAACACAGAATTTAGGGGCCCTAAGCATTAGCATTTCATGGGGCCCTAAATTAAAACGTAGCTCCTCTGTGGAATTTAATTGTGAACAAAGTTACGTTTACCTTTATTCCCAAGGTATAACAAACATGTGGAAAGCATTTTCTTCCCAATTGTTGGGAAATGAATATCATGATAAATATCAATACTGTATGATATGGAAAAAAAATATATTGTGATAGCCTATTTTTATACATTTTTCTGGAATATTTTCCTGGATTGTTAAAAAACATTTAAAATGCTTGTGAGAAATCATTAATGTTTATTAATGGAAAGATATCAAGATATCAATTAATATATATATTAATTAATAGTATATCAAACAAGTAGCCCTTGAGACTATTTTATCCCTTCAGGGAGCCCTCACTCACAAAAAGGTTGGAGACCCCTGCTCTATAGTGTATATAACTTGTTCTAGTTATACTCAGTAACACTATTGTGCTAAATGTTTTAAAAGTTGTTCTTTGTTTTTATTTAATCCTTATCCAGTATTCACAAATCGCAGGAAAAAGTCATGGAAATATTTTGCATTATTCTAAAATAGATATGCAGAATTTGTTTATATAGTAGTTCAAAACCAGGACTGTCCATTATTCTGACACAAGGGGGCGCCAAATTATCATCAATAAACACACAGACTCTTGCCTAAACTTGAATTTGATTTTTTTTGTGGTCCTAATCTTATATTTTGTTGTGGTGAGGAAGTGGGGGCCACACACGGCAAACATATATTGCGCATTAAAAAAAAGACAAAACTCAATTGTTGAAACAATGTTATAAATAAAAAGGTTGTATTATCATACAGATAACATTAATCAAAATGAAACTTATATGTACTGAGCACTCGCACAAGCGAGGGAAAACTACTTCAATGTATCTGTAAAATGTACTGTAAATGAGGCTGGGGACCGAGTGACTCGTGCTGGAGTAGATACACAGTGCCATCACCCGTGTGTGCACAATGATATGTCCTGACCAAAAATGAGTGAAAATAAAGAGAGAGAGAGGAAAAAAAAACCTTCTACCAGTGTGCTCGTGTCCTCAAATGGATAAAAATAGTGAAGCATCCTGAATTTTCTATTTGAAGACTGAACACTATATACAGTAAGATTAGTTTCCCAGTGTCCACAGTTGACTTTCTATCATACACGTGTGTTGTTCTTTGTGAAATCTTCAAAAATGTTTTCTTCATAAAGGGAAGAAGTCGCAAAAACATAGGAGAGATAACATGCATTCCTCATATAGTAGTAATAAAAGAATAAAAACAATGGATTCTGAACTTGCTTTTGTACAGTCAAAACATTTTCTCATAAATCTTTTTGTCTAAATCCTGAGACAGACATAGGTTTTGTGATTGTATCTACTAAAACTACTGGTACCTGAACTAGAAACATATGGAAACCTCAGAGTCCATGAAAAAAAAAATTAACATACAAGTTTGAACAAACACACGAAACACATTGCAATACATTTTATATTACTTTTGACTATCCTCAGCAAGTGGCTTCTATAGGACGTCTGTGGAGTTGAGCTAAGAGTCAGGCTGGAAGGTGGCACAGCATTTTCCCTTAAGCTTAGGATTGTTTTTAGGTTACTTGAAAACACTGAATACACTGAACTGTGTAAATCCCAAATAAAAGCTTAAAATGCTCACAAATCTACACTTTAGTGGCCTAAAATCAGAAAAAAAGTCTCGTGATGCCATTCGTCGTTTAGAAACACCTGTTTGTAGGTTAAAAAATGCACTATTTTCATCTTTTACCACAGATTTTGAGTTCATTTAGGCTACGATTTCTGCTTGTTGAACATTCCTCTCCTGCAAAATGTTTCAAGTATATGAATGAAATTTAAAATGACAGTGATCTTTAAAGTATTATGTGACCAGAGGAACAAAACTTTCTTCAAAGGTCATTCGTTTTTGTACCAAAAAAAAAGACATTTGAATGTTATATGTCATTGGAATCAAATCAAATCTGCTGTTTTGTCTTATTACAGATTTCAGGTTTCAGTCTAAAGCTCAGTACCAGTCAACCAAATCAATAACATTTCCATACGATTATTTTCCTGAAATTTTTACAGCTTTACTAAAAAAATATGTAAAAAGAAAAAAAAAAGTGGAAAACGTGTATTCATGTACATAAAACATAATGGACAACACATGAAACGCCTGCGATCTTCTACGGCTGTCTTTTGAACCCTTTCCTCCTGTCAGTCCTATTTACGAGGATTTTCACGACGGCATCCTGTTTGTGGCATCATCTCCTGCCTTATTTAGAAACCCGGGATGATGCAATAGGCTTCCATGGAGGAGAAGATGATGTACATCAGCCAGAGACTGAAAAACAATGTTGTGGTGAGGATTTTGGGAGTCTGCGGGCCACCCAGTTCCCCTCCGATCTCGGGCCGACGGCGATACATGAGGACGGCGATACAGATGAAGGCAAAGATGGTGAACAGGGTGACGGAGAACGCCAGCGTGCCGGGGTCCACGCGGAAGTACTGGCCTTGTGACTGGTGAAATATGGCAGCAATAGACCAGGCCACTCCAATGCCCAGAAAGACGTTGACAGCATTGCTGCCCGTCACATTGCCGATGGAGGCGTCAGCGTACTGATCCTGGATGGCTGCCACTTTACTAGCGAATGTGTCTGATTTTAAAAGAGAGAAAGACAGAAAGAAAGAAATATTGTCAGGCTGCAAAAATAGGCATCAATAAATGGATGACTCTTGTATGAATCATTGCATGAAATCTGTAAACAACATGTTCAGCTTGTATTTTGCCCAAAATTCCACATTTTTAGAATCATTACGCATTTGTATAATTGTGATGTTGCACACATTTTCTCACCTGAATTCCCAATACTGTAAAAAAGTTAAATTAAACAAATAAAAAATAATTATATATTTACTTTAAGGAAATAATTAGATTTATTATTTAAAATTTATTTTGTAACATTTTTTTTAAAGAATTATTTTTAAATATTCACTACCATTACAAGTTTGGGTTTTTGAAAGAAGTCTCACAAAGGCTGCATTTATTTGATAAAAAATACAGTAAAAATAGTAATATTGTGAGAAAGTATTTACAATAAAAAACGGTTTACTATTTTAATATATTTTCAAATGTATTTTTTTTGTATAATAGCAAAGCTAAATCTTCAGCATCATTACTCCAGTCTTCAGTGTCACATGAATAATTCAGAAATTATACTAATATGCTGATTTGCTGCTCAAGAAACATTTCTTATTAGTAGCAACGTTGAAAACCTTTTTAGGATTCTTTGATGAACAGAAAGTTCAAAAGAACAGCATTTATTTGAGACAACTTTGTTGTACAATTATTATAATTATTGTATTTTAATACTATAATATATTCTCTACTGTCACTTTCAATAATTTTAATGCATGTTTGCTGAATAAAAATGTTATTTTCTATTTTTAAACAACTTTTTGAATACAGTAGTAGTGTGTACTGTACATACATATATATGTATACACTATATTGCCAAAATATTGGGACGCCCCCTTCTAATGAACAGGTTTGACTACTTCAGTCATTTTCATGAGTATAAATCATGAGTAAAAATGATATTCTAGAGAATTGTGTGCTTCTAATTTTATAGCAAAAAATCAAATTTTATAACAGGACCCTTTTCTATTCTAACATGACAATGCCTCTGTGTATAAGAGAAGGTTCAAAAAGAAATGATTGATTCAGTCAGTGTGGAAGAACTTGACTGCTCTGCAGAAAGCCAGCTGAACACCTCTGGTGTGACTTTAAATGAAGACCTTGAGACAAAAACTCATCACCAAACACCTGTGACTTGTACATACATATGGACAAATGTATTGGGACACCCCCTTCTTTAGGACAGAAAAATGCACTTCCAGAACTGTGTCATCAAAGATGGAAACATAATTCATGTATTTAAAAATTGTATTTCCATCTCTGTTGCAACAGTTTTGGAAGCGTCTAAAATGACTGCACACATACGTAAAAGTCATTGGTGTTTGGTGATGAGTCATTTCTTTTTTTCAATCATTTCTTTTTGAACCTTCTCTTATACACAGAGGCATTGTCATGTTAGAATAGAAAAGGGTCATTGTCCAAACTGTTGCTATAAAATTAGAAGCGCACAATTCCATAGAATATCATTATATGTTTAAACATTAAGATTTGTACTCATGGAAATTACTAAAGTAGTCAAACCTGATTCATTAGAAGGGGGTACCCCAATATATATATGGGGAATATAATATAATATATATAATGGGGGGAAAAAAAGGAAGAAATTTGTCATGAATTTAATGTCATAATTCACATTTTAATGGTCCAAAAACAGGAAACATGTTTTAATATTTGGGTGTGAAATGTGACTTAAATAGGTTTTCAAGTACCTGGCACAGAGGTTCCCAGCGCCACAAACACAACCGCAGTTACAGAGTCTTTCAGGCCAATAGTGCATCCAAAATGGGATGCCAGGTCTCCGATGAACGCAGTGAGGACGCCAATCATGAGGATTGACACGATGAAACACGCCCAGCCATTCCAGTAATCAGTGGGCGGCACGAACGCAAACAGAACCTTCCAGAACACAGTCAGGAAGTGCATGACGTAGTCAAAGCAAGATGGCATCTTTTCTTCCCCACACTCATCATCATCATCTTCCCCTTAGGAGGAGGGAAAAAAGGAGAGGAGATTTGAATTATGGATTGGTTGTTTGTTTCCTGTGAAGAGACAGGCTGTCCTCTTACTCCAGGGAACATCAGTGTGTGATAAGCATATCACTGTTACACAGAATGGCTGACACCAATCAAATCTTATAAATCAGAGGCTCTGAAGCTCTGAAGTACTGGAAGTCCAGTACCATCTGTTTCACCAAATATCACACTAATTAAAACATCTTATATCAAACAGTCAGAAATTAAGATTTATTTCAAGCAAAAAAAAAAAACACTTGTGCAGCGCAGTTCATGCCAGGTAACTATTTGAAAAATAAGGGTTGGAACAATAAGAGGAAGTACTATATTGTGAATGTAAAGGGCATTATTAGACGCATTACCAAACACTGTGTCAACATTTAAACTGGCCCTGGTAAAAAAATACCATTATAAATTACTTTCATTGATTTTTCAAAATAATAAAAAAGTATTTTAAAATGATTTTAAAATGGCAAATTCCATATTTACATAAATTGTATGTATTCATTAGTTATGTAAACATCATTTACATAATTTATATTTCTAATGTTTACTATTATTTGCTTAATTATTTATATTATTATTTAGCGTTCATTTAATATTTAATAATAGGTAATGAATTGTAATTAATTTAAATGTCTAATTCTATATCTACATTTATTTTACATATATACATTCATATTTCTATATTTACATTTATAAAATATTTGCAAGAATTCCGGTGTGAGAGCAACGCAGTCTTTAATGAGAAAAAAGATCAATGATTCTTTTACATAATACAGTGTCATCAAAACAAAGGAAGTTAATTTTGGTTCACAACTGGAGTGCTGCAGAGTAAGTCAGCCTTCTATAAACCAACTAATGTCTAATTATGAGAAATATTCCCCAGGAATTTAGATTATGATCTTCCTCCCTCTCTCTCCTCTTGGCTCAGGCTGCACTAACAAGCTCTGTCAGCTTCAGTCAAGCCTGTCAGAATGAGTGCTTGTGTATGTGCCTGACTGCATATGTGTGTGTGGCAAAAGACACAGAGTCACAGAGCATTGTGTCCACACATTCCTTATTAATATGCTGTGCTACATGACGAAAGACACTTCAAAAACCGTGCGGACGGAGGGTGAAAGCAATAGGCCTTGACATTTTAGAGATGAGAATGGCATGGCTTGTGTTTGGTTATGCTCGTAGTGAGCTTGACTGATGACAGAAGAATTCTGGGTAAAAAACAAACCCATAAGAATCTTTTTGTTGTTGTTTTTTCACTGTTAAAGACAGAGTTGCTCTTAAAAATCACAATTATTGCACAACAAAACTTAACATTCGCCAAAAAAAAATGACACAACGAATTTAATATTAAATAATATATTCTTGAAAAATCATAAATAGTAATAAATATGTTAAAAATAAATAAAGAATACATCATAAAACAATATATTCAGAAACAAAGAAACCACCTGCAAAAATAGAAGTTTTTATGACAGAGAAAGGAGGGAAAATATTCAAGATTATATAGACATTCAGTATTGATATTAAGACATTATGAATGCAACAGTATTTGTTTCCTACTCAATACTGAGAAAAACAGGTTCTTGGAAACTCCAAATTTATACTGAGAGCTGTCTGCTCATGAGAAAAAAGCAAATTATGATTATCTTCTCTCTCCAGCACTGCTATGATTGACACTCTGCAGATTTGATGAAACATTTAATTGCACTTCAGTCTGGCTACAAGCAGGCATTCAGCACCAACACATTTTAAATTGCAATGGTGCGCTAATTAAAGATATGTGGCCAAATTAGCACAGTGATTGAGCAGCAATTACAACATGCCTTTCAGAGATGAAACAGCAAAATAGCCGTGTTTTCTAGCATTCCAAATGTCAAGTCTGCAGAGGATTGTGCAATGATTGTGTTTACAGTATGTAGAGACTTGATGGAAAAAAGGACAGCATTTTCTCAGACTCACCTGAGCTGACAGTGATGGCCTCTACAAACTGGTCTCTCCAACTGTTAGTACCAACCAAAAGGGCCAAGTTGGTTTTCTTTATGAGTTTGTCGACTGTGCTCTGGAAGGGTTCAAAATCATTACTATGATAACAAAATGTAAAACGTTTAATACTTTACAAAGGCTCATTTGCTGACATTAGTTAACCATGTTAATGTGAACTAACAATTAATAATACTTCTACCTCATTTATTATTTCTTAGGTAATGTTAATTTCAACATTTATGTATATTTTTTTAATTATAATTTTTTGTTAACATTAATAGACTGTGAACATGAACAAAGAACAATTGTGTTTTTAATTAACAAATATAAAAAAAAAATGTTGGAAAAAATTCTCATTGTTAGTTCTTGTTAGTTACTACATTACCTAATGTAAACAAAAGATGATAAAGTGTTTAATAATAAAAAGTCCATCACTGACTTTCTTACATGAAACGCAAAGGAAAAAACTTACAATGAAAGGGATTCCAAAAGTGCATAAAAACAATGTGAAAATGCAAATGGCTTTTGGAATTGGAATTTTTTGCATTTCAAGAAAGTCCATTTTTGTCTGTTCATTTCAGATATTTCTTTAAGATATCACAAGTAACAGCATAAAGTGCATTCAAGGAGAAAATTTCTAAAAAAAAAAAAAAAACACTGACAACAGTAGATTTTTCAGATTAGGAAAAATATTTCCAATAAAGGTCTTCCTCTAGTGCAGCCAGCGAGAAACCTGCCAGCCAGAATCCAAAATCTTCTTCATTACAGCCCAGAAACGAATTTGTCTGGATGGCATCGCCTTTCGATTATTAAGGTTGTAGTGAGCAAATTAACCTGACAGACATGATGAAAACTAATAACCCCTCTGATGCACAGAAGCAGTGCAGGAGAGAACCAAATGAGATGGAAAGTGGATACTGTTAACATGTATAAAGTGACAGGCAGTCTGAAAGGTTGCGGTAATAGCTCTGCCCATGTCTGCTGTATCTGAAGAGCAATTAAAGGTTGAATGGTCTCCAGCTGCGGCTACTTCAGCAGGACAGGATAGCATTGCTCATGTCCAGATGCTCTGTCATCCTCTCATTCACCTTCAAGGGCTTCTAAGCCCTCATTCATGCTTCAAATGCCATCGCTCGACCTCAAAGTAAATGCGTGTGTGAACACAGATGGGTGTCTGAATGCATTTTTCATGACAGATTCTTCATGAGCAGAAAAGGTACCTTAAACTCATAGGACTCCTCAATGATTACTTCAAGTTTCACATGTTCACCCATTGTCGGGCGACCCATTTCAGCAATACGCCTCTCATCCTTCTCTTTTTTAGTCAGGGTCTCTTCTTCCCCGTCCTCTGAGAGAGACAGACATAGCAAGAGAGGAACAGAAAATTTGATGGAAAAAAAACATTTTCAGTGAACAAACATGTAGACTCATACGATTATATCATTTGCAGGATATAAAAAAAGCCATAACATCTGCAATGTGAGCTATACTATGCTTGTTGACACGCGTGAGAATGCAATGCTGTCAATCTGGACTTGAAAACATGTTTGAAGGTGTGGACCTTTTGCAAGGTTTAAAATTACAACATCATTACTAATCTAAAATATTGAATGGATCATTGATAAAATATTTAAAGGAACAGTTCGCCCAAAAAAGAAAGTGCTGTCACTCCCAAGTCGCTCCAGCCCACTATTATTTTCTTTCTTCTGTGAAACTCAAAAGAAGATCAGAATGTCCGAGCTTCTGATTTCCATAAAAGGAAAGTGAACGGGGTTGAAAAAAAGGGACGGTTGAGATGAAAAAGTCAGAAATGCATAAGGATGACATTTTTCTAATTGTTGGGTAAACTATTCCTTTATATGTGGCCCAGTAGTGCACAACACAACAAAATCTCCACAGCACAACAAAATCGCCAAAACACAATGCATAGGACTAATTTCATTGTGTTGTGTTAATTTGTTGTGGCTTGTTTCTGTTGTGTTGTGCTAATTTTGTTGTGTTACGGCTTGTTTCCATTGTGTTGTGCTAATTGCATTGTGTTGCGACTTTTTTGTGTTGTTGTGCTAATTTTGTTGTGTTGTGGCTTGTTTCCATTGTGTTGTGCTAATTTCATTGTGTTGTGACTTGTTTCCGTTGTGTTGAGCTAATTGTGTTTTGTTGTGGCTTGTTTCTGTTGTGTTGTGCTAATTTTGTTGTGTTACGGCTTGTTTCCATTGTGTTGTGCTAATTTCATTGTGTTACAGCTTTTTTGTGTTGTGTTGCGCTAGTTTCGTTGTGTTGCGACTTTTTTGTGTTGCGTTGTGCTAATTTTGTTCTGTTGTGGCTTGTTGCTGTTGTGTTGTGCTAATTTCATTGTGTTGTGACTTGTTTCCGTTGTGTTGTGCTAATTGTGTTTTGTTGTGGCTTTCTGTTGTGTTGTGCTAATTTTGTTGTGTTGTGCTAATTTTGTTGTGTTGTGCTAATTTTGTTGTGTTGTGCTAATTTTGTTGTGTTGTGCTAATTTTGTTGTGTTGTGCTAATTTTGTTGTGTTGTGCTAATTTTGTTGTGTTGTGCTAATTCTGTTGTGTTGTGCTAATTTTGTTGTGTTCCAGCTTGTTTCCGTTGTGTTGTGCCCTACTGGGCCACTGTACCTTTAAGATAAGACAATAAAACAATTCCATATAAATCTATCAGCATGTTGCATTGATTAAAAACACTTTTCACGTGATTAAATGCATGCATTTAGTTACACTAATGGGCTGATGATCTATTATGACTGTTTACATCCTCACAATCGCTTAATGAAACAAGCAAATGCATCATGAATCAAACATGCACACACCATATGATATCACACATTTATAAGGAGAATGAATTAAGGAAAAGAAAGCGACATGGATGAACAGGAGAGGAAGTGGATACCTGTGATGCTGATAATGGTGGAGGGGATTGGTTTGTCTCTACCCTGCACTTTCCGGTACACATCCCTGCCTGATGAGCCCAAACACATTAACTGAACAGTGTTAGCACAGATGCTAACAGATCTATGCAGCTTTATCTACGATGGTACACAACTAAATAAAGTTTTATAAAGCAGATGACAAAATGTCAATTATCTCTTGAGAGAACAGTGCAAATACGTATTGCCTCTTTGATATATTATAGTTTGATAGACATTACAGTGTACAAAGTATATATATATATATATATATATATATATATATAAGTATAATAAACAGAATAAATGAAACCATTTAATGAAATAATTACATATTATAATGAAATATATCAAAAAGTAATTAATTGAGGTTAAATGGAAGATTTGTAGGCCTATACTTTTAAAAATGTCATAAAAAGGTGAAATAAGTCATAAAGGCTATGATTAAGATAATGAACACTCTGATGATGTAATAATTATTAGCAAACTGCAGTTTATGACACCACATGACGGCAACTTCTAGTATGTAAAATCAACCACACCTTTGCCCGAATAGAATTCATTCAATTCTTCTACCTGACATCTGCTAATTTTAATATACACTGTTCTCTCAGGGATGACATTTTTCAGCAACAGACACTCCTTGGACACAGTATTCAAAGTGCAAATGTTTTTCTGAGAATCAATGTGCACGTCACAGTTGAGCGAGTTTGACAAGACAGTTACGAAAGCACTGACACGTTAGCTACGGCAGACTAGCTGCATTCTTATCAGGAACCAGCCCGTTTGCCTTTGGGAGTAATGTCAATGATGGTTACTGGATAGGTGACAGTGGGTTGTGTTGTTGCCCATCACACAATGTCTTTGTGAAACTTTCTGGCATGCAGCAAATGTGGCATTTCAAAACAATCAGCATATCATAGAAGATTCAGGGCACTGCGACAGAAATCAATCTTAACTTAGTGCTTTGTATACAACTTGAAAATTAGACCGTAATAATGTTTTAATTGAGTGCACAGGCAAGTTAGTTTCAGAAATTGAAGTTAATTTGCTATGAGAGACATGGTCTGTGTCTGAAACCTTTAAAATATTGATAACTAAAGAAGTTTGTTTGTTCGTTTGTTGTTAGTACAGGCCAATTCACACTGCACTGACAGACGCGACCAACGTAGATAACCAGATTATAGTACATCACTTCTCAGTGTTCAACCTCAGTGTTCTTAGTGTTCAATTGGCGAAAACAAGCTCCAAAAGACAGGGGTAACACACTGATCAGACAAAACCTGATGAAGTGTCTGTAGCAGTTTGCCGGTGTGGTGTGAATTGACCATAAGAATAAAAAAAGTGTCTGATAGAGTGGTTATAAAAAGTAAATACATTTTTTTTTTTAATGAAAACAGTACTTAGAATTTAAAATCATTTATTAATTATAAAAATACAAAATTTTAAATAAATGTATTTATAATCAATTTAAATTTCAATTCAATATCCTATAATTACATTTCTACAGAGAAATAAGCATTGTAGTCAATATTTTCAGACACAGTGAGAAACTATAAATGATTTTATTATTTATTTTATTTATAATAATATATTTTTATTTAAAAAAAATTATAAAAGTAATTTATAGTACAGTTATATATATAAATTTCCATCTTGATACAGTATACATTTTTATCAACTAAGAAACAAGCATTGTAGTTTTTTGGTGGTGAAATATAAATTATTATTTGTCAAATATTATTTATAATTCATAATAACACTTATTTAATTACAAAATACAAATAAATGATACTACATTTTGATTCAGTGTATTTCCCCCCCATTTATGAATCAATTTCTACCAAAAAAAGTAGTCATTATTTTCAGACACAGCCATGACAAGCAAAATCAAATCCCTATAATCTACTTGACTGGTCATGTAAAGTATTTTTGCTGTGAAAGTTGCTTAACAGGAAAGAAAGCAAAGCAAATTAGACACTTAGGACCTATCTCTGGTCCTATTTGAGTAAATGAGCCTATCAAGCAAACACACCAAGCGTCTAGTTTACGCAGTGTGACAAACAAAGGCTCCAGTTCATCATCAAGCAAACCAGTTACTAAACACACCCAATGTTATATTTAGTCTTCAACTAGGTGAAAAGTAACATTTAATCTCTTACCATAAAGCTTCTTATCTATCAAAGAAAAGATTATCATCAAAAAGATTAAATCTATGACTCAGAATTCATTCACTTGGTTAGCTAAGCAAGTTAGCTTAGGTAGCTTGTAATGAGTTAGCTGAGCAGTTCCAGTGAAATATTACTGTACCTGTCTTCACGAATCCACCTAAAATCATAAAAACACAGCAAAAATGATCTCACTCTTTGTTCATTTCATGTTTTACAGATTTTTAATAAGGAAAGAAAATTATGTTGGTATAGGCCCAAATGAATGTGTAAATACGTGTTAGCATAATTTGATTGTTGGCTATGCTGTTTCACCAGCTTGACCAGCACCAAAACAATATTAACCAGCATATAACTAGCATTAGCAACCAGCATGGAAAGTGGTCTGGTCTTTGCAGCTTGGAGAGTGAAAAAGGAACCAGATTGGTGGGTGATCTCATCAGCATCAGCAGAAAATGTTTGATTAAATTTGAACAAAGGGCTTGTACATATTAACAAATAAACATCTGCATCCTCATGTGATGAGCTGAACATTTTTAAGTGATTTACAGAAATAAAGAGCAGCAAAAAAAGAGACAGCTTACCACATTCATGCAGCAACATAGCTGATGTAGACAAATGAAGAAGAGACAGGACAAAAAAGCAAAGAAAAAATGGAGATAAAGAAAGAGCAAAATTATTATGAATGAGCCAACAGAGTAACACAGACAGGGTTGTGTAAGAAATTTGTGTTGCTAAATATAGATGACTCCCAGTGGGACTGGGGCTTAGAGAAAGTCTCTGAAATCGGACTGCGAATTCAACAGAAACTGGTGGAAATCATCAACATTGAAAAACAGTGGAGTTCTGAATACAAATTATACTCCATTATATTCTCTATACATTGAAATGTTTGGAGTCAGTGAGATTTTTTTTCAGTGTTTTTTGTGAAGAAGCCTCTTATGCTCGCCAAGCGTGCATTTGATTGCATACAAAATACAATAGAAATAGAAACATTAATACAATTTAAAATTTCATTATATTTTAAAAAGCTGAATTTTCAGCAGTCATTACTGCAGTCTTCAGTGTCACATGATCCTTCAGAAATCCTTCTGATATGCTGATTTGCTGCTCATTTCTTATTGTCAATGTTGTAAACAGTTGCGCTGCTTATCTTTGATGCTTTTTTTCCAGGATTCTTTGATAAACAGAATGTTCAAAAGAACCGCATTTATTTGAAATGTAAATCTTGTGTAACAATGTAAAAGTATTATCAGCTACGTTTGATTAATTTGATGTGTCACTGCTAAACAAAAGGATTTTCTTACTTTCTTACTTTTCTTATTTTCTTAAAAGTACATTCTTTAAAAAAAAATCATACTGACACCAAACGTTTGAACATTAGGGCACATAGTAGGACATTCAGTTGAACATATTCATTTGGTTTGATTAATTAATTAATTAATTAAAAACAATAACAATGTAATAAATGTCCCCTGACCTATACTTAAAAGTCAAAATATTGTAGTTTTCCAACTAATAGAGCAATTCCACCTCATAAAGTTCTACTTTAATGTTTTAAAGTAACATTCCACTTCAACAGATTGATAAACTTGACTAATTGGATTAAGATAAATGGACTGAGATAAAATATATATGTAAAATAAAAATTATAATAAAAAATGACTGCCACAATGTCATAAATTATCTTCATTTAGGGGATTCATTGTGATTAATTAGATGAATTATTGAGCATATCATAATAAGCCCTACAACATTGAAAAATTGATATGAAAAAATCTGAAATATGAAAAATGAGTATGATGTCAACAAAAATCTTATATCATATTGCTGAATCAATCTTTTTCTGTCAGAAAAAAATATGAAATCTCATAGGCGCATGGAATTTGGTAAGAAACCCATGTATCTGCTGCTCATTATGGTTTCAATTGTCCTTGCCTCATCCTGGCCTGAAGGAATGGTCCCTACAGCTTTACTCCTGGCCAGAATCCTCATATTAAAAGTCAGCCAGTTATGCCTACTCTCTGAGAAAGCTCTTAACCTTTGGCCAGGAGGGAACATGAAAGATAAATCCACTGAAATTGAGCAGCAAACAGGAAGAAAACGGCATTACTGCAATAGTAGAACGAAAGTAGAGGATCAGCTTTGAAGGAGGAGCGGAGGAAGGGAAAGACAGAAGCCAGAATAAAGGGCAGCTGCAGAGACAGGAAAAGGCTTGTTTCACTCGTTTCTTTACTATCTTTCACCTGTCCATCCCCTCCTCCTCCATTCTGGTTCCTGCAGCTCTATGAAGAAGTTTGCATGCTTGTCATACTCCTCATGGTCAAGAATTTTAACCTTTATGGTCTTCCTGTGGGGGGAACATAAAATCACATTTGAGGTATGAAGTGTGCTTGTGTGTTCAATTTTAGGCATATCAAATGCCTCTAAGTAAATGAGTCAATCAAATCTATGAATAATTATAACACAAGACTCTCTTTTCTCATTTGATTCATCTGTCAATTTTGCTCCAGAATTCTGTAATGGAGAAATTATTATGCATCCCACTCTTCAGAAGTCAAGAATTGCGTAGAATCAGATCAAATTTTGGGTCACAAAAGGCCACTGAGATAAGAGTAACTAGATAAGATACTATTTTAAGCATACATTAGGTCTAGAGATGTTGTAGGCCAACTAACAGTGATTCTTTGGCCTGTTGGCTTTGCATATTATTAACACTTCCTGTTCAGCCCAGAAGATGGCAGCACACCGAGGCTGTTACAGGGCAGACGACATCCCACCTTTTCTCTCACTCATTTCCACCAATTGTGGCTCTCCAATCTCCAGGAAGAAGTTCTTATTCTTTTCATACTCCTCGTCATCGATTATATTGATCTGAATAGTGTTGCTGAAAGAGAAAGAGAGAAAGAAAAAGAGCACAAGTTTGCAGATATGAGAGAGGCACAAGGAAAGGCAAAGAGTGGAAGAGTAGAGTAAAACATGCTAGAGAAATAACCAAAAGCAAAATGAAAGAGTATGGACAATGAAAATGTTGTAAGCAACATAAAAAGTTATTAAAATGTTAAAATCTAAAGGAACAGTGCATTTAAAAAAAAATAAAACTGTCATCATTATTATTATTTTGTTTGTTGTTGTTGAACACAACAGGAGCTGATATGCAGGATATCCACAATGTTATTTTCCATACAATGTATGGGATAAAAAAACAATAATAAGTGACATATTGTGGTCAGTCTGAATGAATTGCTCATCTGCACATGCTGTGCATGTTTATTATCTATCCATTGACTGTTTTATATGCTCACACTCACATTGAGCAGAATACATAATATAATGTTAGAGAGTCAGGGGCAATGGAAAGCATTTGAAAAATGATCTGCAATCACAGCTGTGTTTACTGGAATATACTGGCCTAAAAGCCCTTTAAGTGCTTCTGTCTGGTTTTGAGAATAATACAACAGGCTCTCCCTCCATCTCCCTTTATTGTTACTTTTTAAAAATAGTATCAATTTACGTTAACCATTACACAATGCACTGTAACAAGCCACTGCCCCCCCCCAAAAAAAATATATATACAGTATATACTGTATATAAAATCTCAGGCCATCTAAGATGCAGATTAGTTTGTTTCTTCATCAGAACAGATTTGGAGAAATTTAACTACATCACTTGCTCACCAATGTATCATCTGCAGTGAATGGGTACCGTCAGAATGAGAGTCCAAACAGCTGATAAAAACGTCACAATACTCCACAAGTAATCCACACAAATCCAGTTTCAATCCTGCTTCTAGCTAAAATACGAGTCCTCTATCTATAATATTGGTTTCTCCAGTGTCATCTAGTCACCAAGTTGTCTTGTCTGAAACTCATGAATGAAATATGCACAGATCAAGTAATGTTTACAAGCAAAAAACAGTCCAAAACAGCTCTAAACAAATATGTCGGTGGATTTTGATGTGCGAGGATAAAGGGGGATGGACTTTTTTACTGGAGAAAGCTTTATTATGAACTCATATTTTGGCCAGAAGTGGCGGTATAAAGTTAAAATGTTTCTTACAAAGACAACGTTTAACTTCACAAGACATTAATTGATGGACTGGAGTTGTGTGGATTACTTGTGGTTTATTATGATGTTTTTATCAGCTGTTTGGACTCTCATTCTGACGGCACCCATTCACTGCAGAGGATCCACTGGTGAGCAAGTGATGTAATGCTAAAATTCTCCAAATCTGTTCTGATGAAGAAACAAACTCATCTACATCTTGGATGACCTGAGGGTGAATACATTTACAGCAAATTATCATTTTTGGGTCACCTATTCCTTCAGGAAGGATTTGTCTGACCGACATTTATGATCATGATATCCAATCATGCAGAAATTGTTTAAAATTAGATTACGTCTGCCAGTTTTAGCCAGCACTTGCTATTCGTGTATGCAATGTGCATCAGATAATCGGTGAACAGCCTGTGGGCGGCCAGTGGGCATGTCATTTTAGGCTGAGACTAAGACAGAACAGACAGAAAGCTAAAACACCTCCCTTGAAATACTCTCTACCTTCATCCAGGCATGTGCTCAAAATAAACCCTTCCTCCTGTCTGTGGGCATATAAGCTCCGCTTGTCACAAAGTCACAGAGACTGAAAAAGCATAGTGGGTGATTCTATGAAATGGGTGCCTCTTTCAGCGTGATGATAAGGTGATTTTTAAAGAAAAGAACATTTAAAGAACATTTGAATAAGATTTTAAACATTCCGTCAGGCACATAATGTGTCGAAGTGTTTTGAATTTCATCTCAAGCTAAATAATTACATTTTCAATACATGTTGGCATTTAATTATGCATTCAGATTGTTGATAGTTTAACACTTTAATTAGTAACCAGGTACAAAGTGATCTACAAACATTACATTTTTTAACTGTTTCATATACAAAATCACAATAATGAAGTTGAAAGTTAAAGATTAAACACAACATTTAATGACAAACCATAAGAAAAGTGATAAAAAGAGGATACTTTAAGTTTAGTTTGTGAAAGAGTTATACGTTTTTAATTATTATTATTATTTAGGAAGTTTTCGTTTTTTAAATAATTTCCATGTATTTTGTTTACAAAACGTGTATATTTATAAGAGCAAGACAATGGATGGGGACAAGCTAAAAAGAGGCATTTTCATGAAAATATGATCTAAAATATAATCCAAAAATATATTAGTTACAAGAAAATGTCCACATTAACACATAGTAAAAGCTGGCATCAGCTACTTGTGACTGTTTACACATTTATATGTGAAGAACACAAAAAGCATTCGTTTTGTAAAATTACCCTAGTATTTTCAAAACCAAACCCTAGCTAATCTAGAATGCATTCTATAACATTTAATTTCATTTGGCACATAATTATAATTTTAATAAGTAAAGTGCAGACAGGTTGCTCTTTTCCTCTTTCATGCCAATAAGACTGTCCATCTGTCTTTCTGTGACTGACAGCCTGTACTGACTCAAACCACAGACTGATAAACTGTGACAAGAACAAAAAGGACAAATAGAGAAAAAGCCCTACAGATGGAAAAGAACACAGTGCCATAGTGTGTCTCTGTGTACATAGTATAGGTTTATGTAATAGTAAGGGTTTACAGGGCCCGGCCCCAAAGACATGCTGCACGGTGTTGTATTATGGCTTGTTTAATGTGCAACAATGCCAGACATAATTGACTAAATCCTAACACTTTTCTTCTATCATAAGATGCAGTGTTTTTTAAAGTTTTAAAACAATAGTTTACTTAAAAATGACAGTTATGTCATTATATAATCAATTCATACATGGTATATCCTGAAATTAAAAACGGCTCAAATGAGTGTAAGAATGTACTCCCCTTTCTCACCCTTTTCCCCATTTGCCCTCTGATTCTATAGAAAGCAACATAAGCAGTCTGTCAATTCATTTTATGGGACAATCCACAAGATACCATTCCCATGTTTGATGATATCCAGAGGCGCTTCTACTGCAGCAATGCTTACCAAATATGGAGAGTAAACTAATGTGAAGAGCGGTGGATGCTTCCCTTATACAAATTCCAGCTCTGTCATTTTGCATACAACACCAGAATTGATTCTTGACTAAATGGGCAAAACACAGAAATTGATAATAAAAACAATGCCAAATAATAATAATAATAATAATAATGAAACCAAAAACAGAAATTTAAAGGAAGTTTAAATGGATAGTAATTTGTTTAAAATACTTGTATGATTCACTTTCTTTCTTTCTTTCTTTCTTTCTTTCTTTCTTTCTTTCTTTCTTTCTTTCTTTCTTTCTTTCTTTCTTTCTTTCTTTCTTTCTTTCTTTCTTTCTTTCTTTCTTATTCACTTTCTTTCTTTCTTTCTTTCTTTCTTTCTTTCTTTCTTTCTTTCTTTCTTTCTTCTGTGGAGTTTAAAAAAGTTATTTATTTTTAACTAAAATGAAAACTATTAAAATGTGTTTCCATTAACTTAAAGCTGAAATAAAATAAAATAGATTTATTAGATGTAAAAAAGAAATGTTTTCATGGCAACTAACTAAAATAATAAAATACATAAATAAAATAAACAAGTTGAAGTTGAAGCACTAAAAATAAAATAAAAATAATCTAAAGCTAAATGGAATTATTACTGTAAACAAAAGCGAATAAAAATGACAAAAACACAGAAAAGTACTAAAACTAAAATCAAAATGAAAACTGAAAGTATAAAAATAAAAAGCAAATAAAAAAAATTATAAATACTTTTCAAGGCACGAATTTCAGTAAATAAACAATTAAATTGCTGTCTTTTCTTCCGAAAGCTATCATATGGCTTCAGTATTGTGCAGTATTGTGCATATTGAATATTGTGTAATATTGTATGTCCTTTAATGAGGCTTTTTGTCATTTTTGGAGCTTGACAGCACCTGGTCCCCATCCAGTTTCATTGTATAGAAGATTGCAGTTCAAACATTCTGCAAAATGTATCCTTTTGTGTTTCACAAAGAAAGTCATACACAGTTGAAACAACATGGGGGTGAATGAATGACAAAATGTACATTTTGTGGATAAAATGTTCCTTAAAAAGTTTATATTAGCACCTGCTATGTTGTTAACATCTTGTTTAAATTGAGCTGTTATGTGCTGTTATTTTGAATCATAATGGTTTGGAGGCATAAATAATATGATGTCAGCAACAAATATGACTTTAAGTGCTAAAGTCACAATATAGGCCTTTGGCTGTTGCTTTAATCAACAATGACCTTACGCTGGTTTTAAACAGGAAGGCAAGGACAGAACTAACCTGCAGCACAGAGCGCCATTTGAAAAATCACTGTGACACCAGCTTGAAAAAGCCAAAGACCCATTTTTGCAGGTTATAAAGCAAAAAACAATGTTGTTTGGTACAACCACAAATTGGTATGTAGATCTACAGACAGACAGACAAACAGATACTTATATAATATTACTCAACATGTATATACATAACACAGCAGGCATATATTTGAACAGTGTCAGTGCAGTAAAATCATCAGACGGAAGTGATGTATAATCTGCATGCAGGAAGCGAATTATATTTATTCTGATAACAAGGCATCAGTATGTCAGCTGAAGCATTAGAGCCGCATTGCTTATATTTACTCCAGTTATTCTGCTCCGGATAAATTGTACAGAAAATCCAAGGTTAATGTAAACAGACATTGAAGGATAAATGCAGATTTATGTAATAATGTTTAACTGTATAATGTATAATATAATGTATTGTATAATGCACTGTATAATGATTAACATATTGCTTTATTGTGATGCCTGATGAAATATTGGTTAATATTTCATCAGGCATATTGATTAATAACCTGATCTCGAGAGTCTTCTGAATAATTTAAG